GAGAGGGGGCAGCTGCCGCAGCCTTAGTCCCTGCTGGGGGGTCCCCGGTGGCTCCCGTGTCCCCTGCGCTGCCGGCCCCGGGGGAATCACCCGAGACCCGGAGCTGGCCGAGCCACCGCTGCCACAACCCTCCCTCTTCCACCCCCTCTTTAAACGCATCGCCTCTGGGTGCTCAGCCCCCCCGTGGCCTTGTGCGAGGCGCAGCGGGGTGGGGGGCGAGCCCCAAAAACCTTGGGCGAGGGGGGCACCCAGTGCTCCCGCACCCCGTCCCGTACACCCGGCTCTCCCCGGCATCCACTCCCCTCCCTGCCCCAAGTCCGTGGGAAGAAGCCACGTAATGTACATTTCCAGAGAAGCTTTGGGTGTAAATCAGTGTATACTTGGAGAGGGAAAATTTTTCTATCTTGTAGAGTAGGTATTTTTATAGAATGAAGGTTGATCATTTTTTTAATACTTTAAAGAAGAGAGAAATGTATCTGTGTATACACAAAAGCATATATATATATATATATGTATAAATATATAAATATCGGGGATCTGCCTTTCTCGACTTGGGATCACGGATCCCCAGTTCAAACAATCGTCTTTTTTCCTGTCGCTCACAAAGAGGTACTGTAACTGTAAATAAGCACCGGGAAAAAATTTTAAGCAAACAAAGCACTGACTTGCACATTCACCATGCTTTAAAGTCCCTATGGAGGAAAAAAAAAAAACAAAAACTGTACTTCCCGAAAATGTTCCTCTTTCCCCACCAGTATGTGAAGGAAGTCCCAAAAAAGAGGCAAAAACAGTATTGTCTTAAATGATGTATCGATTCTTGTCAGATTAAAAGCTGTTACTATTCGCCCGGAGACACCTCCTTTCTGCAGAGCTCCTTTCTGCAGGGGCGGCTCCGAGCATCGGAGCATCCCCTGCATCCGAGGGCCGGCTCCCCAGCGGGGCTGGATGGGAGTGGGAATGCCCCTGTCCCCAAGAGTGCCCTGATTTGGGGGGGGGGAAGAGGATGGGGGGAGGCTGGTCCAGGCTGGCTCCAGAGGGGCCAAGGTCAAAGGAAGCCAAAATCTGCCAAGCCCTGCAGGTGGGAACTGGGGGGGCTTCGCCCTTTGCTGTCCAGGTGGGGTGAGGGACCTTCAGAGCTGGCTTTGTCATGTCCCGTCTGTCGTGTTCCCCCCCCAGGGTGTCCTGCTGCTCTGGAGGGTTTGGGGAGGCTGAGATGGGGCCAGGCTGCGGCTCAGCACTTGGGGTCTGCTCCAGGTGAGGACACGGAGGCTTTTCCTTTTCTATACAGTGCTAAACCCCTCCGAGCACTCAGCTGCTCTGAACCGCTCTAAAAATCCCTTAAATGCTCTAAACCACCCTGCTAAGCTGCTCCACGCCCCTCTAAGCGTCCCTCCACCTCCTCCCAGCCCCTGTAAGCCGCCCCAAAGGGCTCTAACCTGCAAAATACCCTCTCAGCTCCTGGAGCGCCTCCGGATGACTCCAGACTGTTCCTCTAAACTCCTCTGAGCAGCCCTGCAGCACCCGGAGCTGCTGCAAAGAGCTCTGAGTGCCTCTGCGTGCTGGGAAATGCCTCTGACACGCTCTGAGCTCTCTAAACCACCCCAAATTCTTTCAAACTGCTCCACGCTCCTCTGAACTGCTCTGAAACATCTCTGAGCATCTCTAAAACACCTCTGTAGCACTTAAAACTGCTCTGCGCCCCTCTAAGCAGCTCTAGTGTGCACCAAAAGTTCTCTAAACGCCTCTGAAAAGTCCTTTAAAAATTCCTCTGAAAAGCTCAACCTCCAACAGCAGGAAGCTGCTCTAGAAATCGGGTAAGTAAACGGCTCCAGGGGCATCGGTGCGGTGCTGGGTTGCTTCAAGGAGCTGTAAACCACCTCTGAACAGCTCGGAGCTCTGCAAGGACGGATCTTTGGGCAGCGCTGGAGCACTTGAATTGCTCAAATAGCTCTCGGGCTCCTCAAACCAGCTCTAAAAGGCACCAAGATGCTAAAACTGCTTGGAGTGGCTTGAAGTAGCTCTTAAAGTCCTCTAAACTCTTCCAAAACTCCTTGAAATAGCTCAAAATGGATCATAAAAAAGATCTTGTAGCAGCTCTGAAGCACTCTAAGCCTCTTCTGCGTGGCTGTGAAACACCTCGAGTGCTCTAACGCCCTCCAAAAGGCCCCTGAAATTCCTCCGGACCTTTCTGATGTACCTCTCAACAGCGTTAAAACTTTTCGGTAACGTCTCTAAACTTCTCCGAACAGTTCAAAACCCCCCTAAACCCCCTCCGAACGACACCGAAGAGGCGTAAGCAACCCTGAAACAGCTCCATGCTGCTCCAAAGCTGCTCTAAAACTCATCAAAAAATATTTGTAGCTGCTCGGAAGTACTCAAGTTCTTCTGCACGTCCTCTGAAAAGGTCTCTAAATGTCTTGAAACCTCTCCAGCCTCTTCGAAGCTGCTCCAGAAAAGCCCCAAAGCTCTGAAGATCTCCACGTCCTTCAGAACAGCTCTGGAGCTGCTCCGAACTGCTCTTCCACAGCACGGCAGGGGCTTGGCACCGTGCTAGCGAGCCTCTGAGCAGCTGCTGGCGGCTCCGAGTTATTATTCATTATAAAAAGTTAAATGCATTTAAATAAATATATTTGCAGTAGGGTTAGAGATTTGTGGAGCTTTCGTAGCTCCAAAACTCCTCAGGGAAGCTGCGCTGTTTCTGAAACGCTGCCCTAAACACCGCTGAAGAGCTCCAGCTTCTCCCTTCGTTACGGTGGGATGCTCTGGCCATGAACGGGGGAAACCAGCGGGCGCCGAACACGGGTCGGACCCCGGTCATGGTGCCCGGAGTGCCAGCCCGGGGTGCGCCCGCGGGGTCAGGCCGCGCTGCTCCTGCCTCCCCTGCCCACTCTCCCCTTTTTTAAACGCTGCCCTAAACACCGCTGAAGAGCTCCAGCTTCTCCCTTCGTTACGGTGGGATGCTCTGGCCATGAACGGGGGAAACCAGCGGGCGCCGAACACGGGTCGGACCCCGGTCATGGTGCCCGGAGTGCCAGCCCGGGGTGCGCCCGCGGGGTCAGGCCGCGCTGCTCCTGCCTCCCCTGCCCACTCTCCCCTTTTTTGGGCCAGCTTGGCTGGCCAAGGCGGGGGCAGAATCACCCCCCACTTCCCTGCCCGACTTCATTGAATACGACAGTGCCGGAGCCCGGCAGCTCCGGATCTGGCTCGGCCGTGCACGGCACCTGCCTGGCATGTGGCCCCGGTGCCTCCCCGCTGCTCTCGGCCTCGGCAGGACCGTGGTGCTCAGTGCTTGCAGCCCCTGGGTGCTCTGCCGGCACAGGCAGGGCATTGGGGGCAGGCAGGGTTGCCACGAGCACCCAGCCCAGCTCCCTGCCACCCAGCTCGGTGGGCTTGTCACTGCGCCGGCATGAGCCGCAAAAGGACAAAGCTGTGGGGAAAGCAGAGCCGCTCTTTCCCAACTCGCCCTGGATCCGGCCTTTGCCCAGTGTGACCCCTGCCCCAGCCCCCCCTGCACCCAAAAAGCCGTGGGGCAGCTGGTGAGAGCCCATCCAGCCCCTTAGAGCCCAGAGCCCATCCAGCCCCTTCAGCCAGCGGGCACCTTCAAATGCAAAACCTGGCACCGCGGCCATGTCCCGCATCCCCCAGCAAGGACTCCACAGCGGGGCCAGATCCGGCAGGACGCCGCGGGGCCGGGGCCCGGCTGCGCCCCCAGCCCAGGCCCAGCGCAGGAATGTGCTCCAGCCGCCGGGTGTTTACTCGCGGCCGGGCGGCTGGAGGGTGGTGAAGAGCGGAGCTTGCGCTGCGGGACCCCTGTTTG